CCCNNNCCGTTGTGTCCGACCCAGTGGTGTGACCGCACAGCATGTGCCCAGTAGTGTCAGGCGGTTGCTGGAGGAGATGCGCGAGGCGGTCAATTGCGGCGGTGGCGTGTTGGCCAGGCGCCTGTTGCAGCCCGGCAGGCTTGCGGTTATTTGAAGTAGTGGTGGGGTATTATTGGTTTCTCCTGAGGGCTGGGTTTCGTGGGGGCGCCAGGCGGTATGATGGTGCGGGGATGTTGCAAACGCATGTTTGACCACGGAACCAAACATGCTCCCTGTTCACACGTGTGATGAACACCAGAACTGGCGTTCATCACACGTGTGAACAGGGAACCAAACATGCTTTGTTCTGGCGTTCATCACGCGTTTGAAACATTTCTGAAGTATTATAGGGTTGCCCCAGAACTACTCCTGGGGCAACCCTATAATATAATACTTTAGAAATATTTTAAAATAACACATGCACGCTTAGCAGTTGAAGGGCATGGGGACACTGGTCTGCTGAACTTGCTGGACAGTGCATGGGGACACTGGTCTGCTGAACTTGCTGGACAGTGCATGGGGACACTGGTCTGCTGAACTTGCTGGACGGCACCAAGTCGGAGCTAGAAAAAGGACAGCAGCTGTTCGTTTTTGGGAGGGGCCCCAGCGCGAAGCGCCCAGGGGGGCCCCGACCTGTAGGATTGCCCATGTCCGTGTGTGTGTGTGTGTGTAACGGACCAAACATAATATCTCGCCCGGCTGAAACGCGTTATAGGTACTATACAGCATTCTCTATTGCAAGGTATCTCGCATGTAGCCAACAAAAATCGTATGAGCACAAACAAGTTTGGCTGCCTCAATTGACCGAGGCCAAAGTCACATCAACGCCTCTCGCGCTAAATTTTATCTCAAAAGGTACCGCGTATCTCATATTTGAATTCTTAGATGACGGCGTATGATAACTCGAACACCCAGCTTGTGTTACCATTTGCCGGCATGGGCCATCCGACTTGCCACCAGCAGGCCAACATAATTTGCTTTCATTTCTCTATGAAATACACAAGCTCCTTGTTTGTACATTTACTTTGGCCAATGCACGGGGCCTCCTGAGACTTGCGGTGTGCCCCGATGAAGCCCGCGGCTGTGGGGCAGATTGCTGAGGCCGCTGGCGCTTCGGGGATAAACATCACAGACAGCACCGAAATTCACCCAGCTTTCGTTACCATTTGCCCGCACGGGCATTCCGACTTGCGGTCTGCCGCACTGTCCATGCGGCATGCACCCGGAATGGATGCGATTCGCGTGGAGCCCGCAGGCGGTGCTGACGATTCCGCCGGTGCAAGCTTAGCTCTCACACCATCAGCACTGCTGCAACAAAGCACATCTCCCACCGCGTTGACACTACCCATCAATTGTCACACTTGCCACCCTAGCTACCGGCCTGTACGGATGCAGAGGGGCCCCGCCCTTTTTCCGGCTTCCTTGAAGCCGACACCCAACTTGTCGATGATGAAGCTAATCTAGTGGCACAGCTGCTCATTCAGGCTTACGAATGGAGGCAACGCGAGGGAGATGGTGCCAGGGAGCTACATGTCATAGTTTCCTCGAAGGAAAAAGATACCAAGGGCAGGACAGCCAGCTGGCTGTTTCCTGGATCACTTGTTCATGCGGA